TCGCAATAAGGACGCAAAATACTAATGGGACAACAGAAATAATGGACATTTTTCAGTTCAAGTGCTGTGTAAATATTGACCATCTAATCTTCACAGCAAACTGGACAGACAAATGTTTCTGCTCCAGTTACTGCCTCCAGCACCTTGAGTTACACAATCACAAAGCCGGAGCTCCCTGTGCCCTTCTCTGGGCTGTTCTCCCAGTTGAGTGACAGCTCTTCAGCACACGGTGTGCTCATTGCTTTAGCTCTTCCCACACTTGACAGTCATGGGCACCAGCACCAGCCCTCTGTAGGTCATAAAAAATCACACCAGTTTTTGACCATTCTGTTTTTCCCCATCTCTTTCCCGTTTGTAAAGTGAGGGGCTACCACCTCCTATTTCTTTAGCTCTCTGTTTGTTCATCTCTTTTGGCTGGACACCAAAATCATGACAAAGCAGGAGGAGCGCTTTTACATGGATGCACTACAATCCAGGCTTGGATGGGGGATCTGCTTTTTGTGGACCTCAGACGTTCATAGATTCATAGAACCACAGAATGCCTTGGGTAGGAAGGGACCTTAAAAGCTCATCCAGTTCCAACCCCCCTACCATGGGCAGGGACAACTTCCACTAGGCCACCTTGCTCAAACCCCTGTCCTTGAACACTTCCAGGTATGGGGCAGCCACAATTTCTCTGGACAACTTGTTCCAGTGTCTCACCACCCTCACAATGAAGAATTTCTTCCTGGTATCTGACCTAAATCTATCTGACCTAAAACCTCTTTCAGTTTAAAACCATTCCCCCTTGTCCTGTCACTACATGCCTTTGTAAGACGTTCTTCTCCAGATTTTCTGGAGACTCCTTTAGGTCCTGGCAGGCTGCCGTAAGGTCTCCCGTGAGCCTTCTCTTCCCCAGGCTGAACAAGCCCAACTCTCTCAGCCTGTCTTCACAGGAAAGGTGCTCCAGCCGTCAGATCTTCATGGCCTCCTCCTCTGGGACTCATTCCAGCAGGTCCACATCCTTCTTATATTCGGGGCCCCAGAGCTGAACAGATCCACTGCAGGTGGCATCTCATGAGAGCAGAGTAGAGGGGGAGAATCACCTCCCTTTACCTGCTGGTGGCGCTTTTGATGCAGCCCAGTATATAATTGACTTTGTGGCCTGTAAGTGCACATTGCTGGCTCATGTTGAGCTTCCTACCAATCAACATTGTTGCAGTATAAAAACCAGCACCAGACTGGGTGTATCTATTGGAAAGTAATAATAGAGACCACTTGATGAAAGTTCCTGGTCATTATTTTCTCAAGGTATTTTGTGGAAGCACTGACATTTCACTGAAGCTGAAGAAATACATTTAATTTCATTTAATTCTTTTCTGCAATTTCTGCCTCAGGGTGTTACATATTATTGTGTGCTGCTAAGTACCTGTTGTGTTTTATTCCAAGGTGACTGAAATAATTATTTTTTGAGTTACTAAAGCATTTGGAGAGCTTCCAGGATGAAAGTGAATACAGGAATGCCAAACATCTACTATTCGAATAGATTGCCATCAGTTCTCCATGAACTATCCTATCTAATCCAAAAAACCACTGTGATTTCACAAAGAGTCTTGAGAACATTTGCTTTAAATTGAAATACTCTATTTCTGCTATACCAAGAACACTGTTAATATTGATCCAGGTGCTCTATGGAGCAATCTAATCTTTCCATTGTGGCACTATTGAAAATCTGGTCTAGTGCACTGGTAAAACTGCATCTCTCAAAGTTATCAACATTAAAAAAGCAAATGGTTACATTTTTCATTAACTAAAAAAGGCTTACAATAGCATTAATGATCCTTTCATCAGAGTGTGTCATTTAGGTAATGGCAGCCTAACACATTAACTTCCCTCGGCTTCGCCTCGGCCTTCTAACTCCTCCAACTGATTATTACCTAATTTGTAAAGTCTCCCAAATGGGTCATTAGCTCTTAAATAGATTTCTCCTGCTGTTTGGTATATACCGTGGAAACAGTAGGCTGTCAGAGACATAACTGGTTTCAAAGTAGCTCTTTCTGGGAAAAAAAAAAAGAGGCAAAAGAAACGCCAGATTAAATTAAGTTTGTGAAATGCATTATGGCTTGCAATATCCCTGGAACACAATTAACTAAGACATCACACATTTCCCCCACCCCTCCACAAAGGAGGACCGGCATCAGAATGTGTGCAAGCATATGTGCCCTTGTAAGCACCTGCAACTCCTGCTGCTTCCGATCCTTAACAGGCAATCGTGCAACCAAGCAGTCAATGTGCTAAACCGGGAAACCAAGGAGAAAGGCTCAAGAGATCAGATTCTGTGCTTCTGGCATGGTTACCTTTCCTCTCTGCCTCCCCAGCTCAGCCTAGAAACTGTGAACCAAAGGCAGAGCAACCTCAGACCGCAAGAAATCAGCAGCATTTGGCCCAGGATACACTACACTCACTGACCAAATTTGTGGTAATAGCCACTGCCAAGTGAGGAAAGAAAAAGTTTGGCCTTTCTCAGCCATAAAATTACATTTTCCTATTTTTTGTTCTTACAATATGACGTAGAGCATTAGACTGAAACAAGTCAGTGTGACTAAGTAAAAACTCCTTGTGCTAACCCACTCATCTGCAAGCTATTCATGTGAAACAGAATAAATGACTACTGGCCAGCAGTATCTGCACTGCAGGAACTTCGAATATGTAGGTGTTAAATAAATTACATGTTTCCACACAAAGAAAATAACACTTAAGGTATAATAACACTCCAACTTTTTCAACTAAACTCAACTAATATAACTTCAGTATTAGCGAATGCTTCCATTTGTTTATGCAGCAACTTTTGTTCTACTCTTTTACTTTTATAAATCTTTCAGACTCCTTCCTTTTCTCTGGCTCTCTCAGTTTTACATATTTTCAATACAAAATCACCACCTCTTTCTGAAAACAGGCTACTCTGTACTAGTTCTACCTGCTTTGCTGAAAGGGCAATACCCTTTCATGTAATATAAAACACCTTTATGTTTTATGCCCTTAACAAGGACAGGAGATGTGTCCTTGGAGACTAAAATCACTGCCTGGTATGGCTCCATATATAGCGATCTGCAGAACATTAATTGACCTACTAAATTCAACATCCTCACTAATGTTTTCATAGCAAACAAACAGTTCTCTATCACTATGAAATTCCCAATTTCCTATTCCCATAATTTTCCCATGAAATAAGCCATGTATACATTGTATGTACTTCAGTCACTGGCCTTTATATACCATCACTGACCCGCAATACCATCAGAAGCAACATGCAATCATAAAGCTGAAAGCAGAGGACTTCATGATCAAACACTTCTAGCTATTTTCCAGAAATGCCTTTTTATTTAAGAAATCTGCTTTATAACTTGTTCTGACAAATGTCACGGCCGGAGAAATTCTTCCACTAAGGGAAGATTTATGATCTATAGTTTTCTTTCTCTGTATTTTTCAGGACACTGGATTCATCAAACACAACTGCTCTTTGATTTGTGTGTCTGCATGTTCAGCACAAAGAAATGAAGCACAAGAATGGGAAAAATGACAATACTCTTTATCTATAGGTAACATTTTGGCACAGAAATAGCATCTGGTGTGATCAACTGGAAAGTGCTGAGGTACGAGCACAGAATGATGTGGTAGGAACAGGATTTCCCACAGAGAAAATTATGCTTATTCTGTTCTTCATGCTGGTCACCATGTTGGCAGGCACATCAATATCCCAGCAGATGGTTTTGAGTAGGGACTGAAAACATACTGCATGCAGAAGGTTGCCCTTCATGGGGAGGATTTCATCTGAGGAACATCCATCTCTTGAGAGGTCAAGGGTACCAGCTGAAATGTCACAGGACATAGCCCACAGCAGCAGAGCAGAAGCAGTTGTAAGGATAACCTAGTTCAGGACTTGTCACATCTGAGCAGCAAAACAGAAGTTACTTCCTTGGAGTCTTCAAGGAACCAGCACCTACCAAAACCTGTGATGGAGCTCAGTCTTCCACTGACTGGGTTACAAATGCCTAGGTAGACAGTGGGCCTCTGACTCAAGGCTCAGTTTGGCCAAGGGTCACAACACAGATCTTCTGAACTGGTGAGGACTGAGGCGATTTCCGCTTTCAAGTGGGGTTTCAAGAGGATAAAGTTAGTCAGCCTGGAAAGGACAAATACCACTACAAAATCTGAGCAAGAACACTCAATAAGATCTTGTTTACCAGAAAGCCTCTGAATAACTTTTATGTTCAAAGTCATAAAGTTGCTTGAGTGCTTCCTGGAATTGGGACTGAATGCCAAAAATACCAGACTTAGGCTGTCAGCTGACTTCACTGAGATATGGCACCTTTTGCAAGCTGCTTTCTTATTCATTAATACACTGATAAACCTGAAGAGAAAATGAGGGCTACACTGGAAAACATCTAAATACATTCTGATCTTTGGTAATCAGTAGTAATCTGCAGTCTCTCCCTCTGAAACAGACCTCATGCCACAGCTGTCCTGGACTCTAGGTGCCATATTTTTGTCACCTTTCACTGTTTTGGCTGTATCATGCTCAAACTGCCCAGCCACCCAACTCAAGCTAAGGGTGTTCAGCACTTTTAAATCCTGAAAGAGAACCCCTGTCTTTGTGGTTTGCATATAAAAATGAGAAAAATGTTAGCCTCACAATTGAAGGATGATTCTTTACATTCTGAGATACTCTCTTTTGAAGTAAAACGGCTGCCTCTGAATTACAGTTAACTTCATAAGTATATAGAAAATTTTAAGTCATAAGGGTCTGGACTTCATATAGTAGAGGGTAAGTAATTTTGAAGAACATGCATGACAAATGCATAAAAGTATTATTCGGTGACTTACAGTTTTAAAAAGGCCAAGACAACAGTCAAAAGTAATCTGATGCTCATCTCTTTGGTTAGGCCGAGTATCATTTTTACTGGCAAAAAATATGATAATAGAAGTCTTTATGCAATCCAATTGAAGATAAAAATGTGATGTTTGAGTATTTGGTTTGTGTTTCTTCTCCCACTTGTGAGTGTTCCTGATTCAGTATTTTAAAAAAATCAAAGTATCATTTGCTGATAAAAAGGCATTGTAGAATATTTCCAATGTATACAGTTTTTAAGACCAGAGAAATTAGCTATAAATTAGTGTTTCACATATAAAAATGCTCTTTATGTTTTACCTTTCATACCACAAACTAGTCTCACACTATTTAAAAGTAGGCACTTAAAAAACCTGCACTTGGCCAAAAAAATAATACCCGTCATTTTTGGTTACTGAGTAACTCTGACAGCACTTCTCCCTGTAATGTGCTTATCAGACCAACATGCACAGCTGATCACTGGATATTATCAGTCTGAAGTAGAAACTGAAAATAGCTTCAGTCTTCCTTGTTCTTCCTTATAATCCTCATTTTAAGGAAAGGCGTAACACATACTTGAAGGCAACAGTTGGACGTTCCCCCAGAATAAGCCCCAGCAGCTGCCTCTTGTGCTTTTGAAACAGCTTGTTGAACCATTTGTAGCACTTGCATGTTCTTGGGAAGACCCCCACTCCTGTGTGCTGTAAGGGGCTGCAGGTGAAGCTAAGCACTAATGCTAAGCACTGCATCATCAGGCACTAAGTTGCAGGAACCGTTTCTTTGGTTATGCATTGCTTCATCATGAAACATGGAAGGTCCAGAGTGATCAGTATTTTTCTCCATCCTGAGCCATGGCGACCCTCCCAGGTTATTTCAACACTTAGCCATATGTGTTGATGCAGACCCCATCATATCTGTCCCTGAGCCGATAATATTTGTCCTAATGGTGCTGGCTGTTTCAACAGGCAGTTAATATCCATGTGAAGCCATGTAGTTATTTCCCTGGATATCCAGGGTATGGAGGGGGTGGGGGATACTGTATCGAAGTCTGTGGGGTTGGAGTATAAGGTGGAGGTAGGTCAACTGGGTACTCCATTTCATATTCATAACTGTATGGTGGTGGAGCCACTGGAATGGGAGAAAGAAGAAGACATAGTTACAAATCTTTTTATTCAGATGCAGGCCCCCAGATATTTTCTAGTTGACATTCAGACTTCCTTACAACAGATGTAAAGTCTCCTAGCAATGCACTTTCTTTGTTTTTAGACTGTCATTATACAGCTACTTCATGTCAATGTAAGTTCTGCTTAGCTGTGTGCTCACCAGCATGCTGTGCTGGTAACAGTGTTTGAGTGGCCATACAGCAGATGACACCAGGATGATGTGGCAGAGCTAAACTTTTTTAGGGGAGGAAGGTTAGGTTTTTATCAGATCCATTCCATTCCATCCCCGTCAGCAGCAACATGGATTTATGTTGTCTCAACATGACAATGTATTTTTTTCTGATCTCCACAGACCTCTCAACCACCCTCTCGATCCCCAGGAGGTGTGTGACATGCCATATCATGCCAAACATAACAGCATCACACTTCCCAGAGCAAACGCTGGACATCTTCCCAGGGCTCAAGCTGAGTTCAAACAAAGCTTTCGCCTTGTTCACCCTAAAAGAGACATGCGAGGAGAACCCAGCATTTGTAAACTGGATCAGGCAGTTTTGTTAAGAAACAACAAAAATATTCACAAACAGCTGAAAACATTTTCTCAACTACTTCCACTAAAACTTAAAGAGAAGAAGAATTCGTTACTGCACAGTAAATGCTGCAGAATGACAGCATGGTAGGAAATGAAGGCTCCATATCAGGACTCCATTAGTCTACAAATGTTAAGGTCCAGAGTCTGCTCATGTCTCCACAGATGGAGATATATCCCCTCCCTAGATGCCTCAAGCAGACTGGCAGTGAAATAGCACTTGAGTAGAGAGGAAACAGAAACCTAAGATGCATATGATGGGGGGAAGAGACATAAATCCCACTGTGCCATGGAAAGCACTCCCTGCCTTCTGAAAACCCAGCTTTTGCTGTGGCTGAGGCCAAAGGAAGGGCATCCACTTGGCTGCTCCCATCCAAAACAGGTAATGGCAGTGGGGAGGGTTTGTCACAAATCCTGCAGCCAAAGCCAGGCCAGTCATTACTCCAGAATGTTCATGACAGCAGGGAACATAGAAACCATTTCAGAGCTTCCCCATCCTCTAAAAACTGCTGCTGCTGCTGATAGGAAAAACTGCTCGAACTAATGTTTGCAGCAGGAACCAGGAGCGTGCAGAGTCAAACTGCCTGGAGGTGGAGATTGGGGTGAGTCATTGCAGGAACAGACTTGGGGAGCAAAAGGCTACAGCCCTGGAATCTTCATTTTGCTCTTGTTCTTACAGCTTGTAACAACTATTATCTTCTGAAGTAGTTCTTCAGCAATTCATGGTTGAGACTATTGCAGTTTTCTTTCATTACTCATCTCTCTATGCAAAACAGTATTGCAATGATAAGACTGATTATAGATGGTTTTAGTTTAACTGGAAAGTAAGAACATGAAGGAGCAAACAGACACTGACAGCAGTGAATATGATAAAGGAACTCATAAAAAATATTGCATAGCTTGCCTATAAGCATCCATAATGCACCTGGGATTTACTGCAACCTTCGCAACACTAGGGAATATAAAGGCAGGGATCTCTGAGTGGGATAAGGGAACTTAATCCCTGAAACACCATTGCCTTTTATTACAGTGAACTCAAATTATCCCAAGGCAATCACTCCTGGATTTGTAATTAATAATGCCACTGAAGCAGAGGCACAGCTGCATTGTATAAACACCGTTAGACTGCTTCCAGGGCCAGCTCTGCTCTTCAGCAATGTGGCCACTTTCACATGGTGGGGAGTCCAGACAATTGAGCCTTGCAAGACCCCAGCTGGCTCAGTGCCGATCCACCTTTGGAGCTCCTGCACCCCAGTCATAGACTGATGCAAACTGACAAGTGTGGTGCAGAACGTGGCTTTGCACAGAGCTACCTCAGGTACAGTGTGATGTACCAATCCCCACTCACTATGGGCACAACTGGACTGTAGCAGATGCATGAGGGGCCCTTATTCTCCCCCGGGGTGCTTCAGGGCCTGTGACAGCTGACTAGCTCAGTGCCAGAACTGACTTAGGCTCTGTGCTGAGCCTAGAATTGTGTCTGGTGCTGCCCTCCACCTAAAAAACATTATGTCAAAGCAATTTTAACCCACAGACAAGCCTGCACTGAGCATATTCAACACTCAGCTAACTTTGACCAAGGCACAGCAGACATCTCTGCACCATGCTACAAGTTCTTATCAGTCTAGGCGTGGTGCAAGGCTGATGCAGAGAACTAGCTGGGATCCAGCACCGCATGCCAGGCAGCAGTTCCTCCTGGGACTCACAGCAGAGAACACCCTGCAAAGATGCCTGTGTGCCTCTGGAGAACTCATCTGGGATCCTGCATCACCCAGCAGGGCTGGTGAGCTTTGCCCACAAATAATACCAGCCAGCTTGGGATGCATGAGACTTCACACAGCATCACTTGAAGCCTTTGTGCTATGATCCACAGACCTTATTGTCCAGGTTTTTCCCTTGTTGTGGTATGCCGGGAACCTGTTACATTAGGCAATGAAAGGGATCTGACTGCACATGAACATGAGCAAATACAAGAACTGGAATACAAAAGAAGAACAACTGATCCATTGCCAGAGAGCCTCTGGCACAGGAGAAGGTCTATCAGCACAGTGCAGCACTGCCCTGAGCGAGGTCCCATCCTGCTACTGCAGGCACCGCAAGCCATACAGCTGTGTGAGTATGGCACCCGGCCAGACCTCATTAGCCCACTGAGTAGCTGAATAAATTCGCCCAGGCAGAATGCTGCACTGACGAACACTGTGCACGCTGAGCTGTCTTGCGTTTCTCAGCAAGGCTTCATGCCGTTCCCCTCCAGGCTGAGAACAGCCTCCTGCTGTATTCACATCCCCTGTTTACTGTGGAGCCATAACTATCCAAAGATACGCTATCGCAAACACCGGCGCTCTTGGAGGGGTGTCATTTCGCTTCCTTACCTGGGTATGTGCTGATAGTGTTGATGTGCGTAGTTCGGATGACCCCTACTCGAGTCCCACGGCTGTTCTTCATGCACATGCAGATACAGATGGCAATCCCCGCAATCACTCCCATTATAAATACAATACCGAAAACGATTCCAGCTATCGCTGTGCCTCTGCAAGGAGAATGAAAACATGCAGTCAGTCTCAGTTTACAAAACAAAATTCTCTCCCAGGAGCAGCCCCCAGTTGAGAAAAGAAGTGCATATTGATTACTGGAAGTGCTGCAAATTCTGATCCATCATAGCATCTGAATAGAAGAAAGATCTTTGAGACCAAATTGACAAACTCTGTCAAGGTCGGTTTCGCAATCGTGCCAGCTCACTCTGTCAATTTACCATATATTAAATCCTCCCATTCCAGGGCCATCTGAATTTAACAACTTTTAAATATTACCAAGAATAATTTCTTCCCTTTCCCCTCATCACACAAGACTTTTTTTTTTTTCTCCCTAATAGCACTGGTATGATTTTCTTTTGAAAAGAAAGAGTAAGTTATCCCCAGTAATACATTCCAGAAGCATCCTAAAGCGCCTGCACGCTGTGCTTCCAGAGGAAAGCTTTTGTCATTGTTTTATCTTAGGTCAAGAAGTCTTTCTGCTGTGCTTCTGAGCCTGCACGTTAAGGAGAGCCTCCTCTTCTTTAGGATGAGCAGCAAGAAGCAAAGCAAAAGCCTGCTCTTCCACACATCTGCTGCTGCAGCTGGCACAAGTATTTGAGGCTTAAATGATTTCTTTTAAAAAGGTCCAGAGGAAAGAATTTAGCTCATCCCCTGAAGTAATGAATCACACCTTCCTTGAAATTATATAGAGAAAGGAAAGAAAGCCTTATTGCACAGATACATGGGAGAAAAACCTCACCAAGAGGCACTGAAGAGCTCCCAATAATACTGAGGGCAAAATCAGCCTTTCTGATGAACCCTAGTTCACTCAGCTTTGTTGTCAGGTACAGGCAATGATGCACAAGTTATATGAAAGATGGTATTTACAGCCTACCCTTTTATGAAAAAAACCACAGTGACTTGCCAGAATATTCTTACTCTGTGCATCTCTTCATCTTCCAGCAAAGACTTCAAATAGCAACCTTGCGGGCACCTTTTTTACTGGACATTTTAATTAATCCAAACTGATAACCTGATAACATGCATAAACTCCACCAGGAAGCACTTCCCCATAGAAGTGTGGGAACACATAGCAGGCCTGAGTTTCAAATTGCTGACTTACACCGCACTGGCTGCCACAAAGTCACCAAGGGTCAGGGTGCACTCAGTATTTGAAAAATCAGACCTTCTGCTTAGGAACCTAAGTATGAGTTTAAGAGCTTGTTTTTAGGCCCCAACTCCATTCAGGAACTTGGCCAAGATTTGCAGTACAATTGTGGAATTGCATAGCATAAATAAACACAGACAATTTGCTGTCTTTCTAAAATACACTGCCAGGGAGCTAAACTGCTCTCTGCTGTTATGTAGCAATGAATGAGGAGTGTGCAGGGAGAGCAAACCTGTTAATATTTTGCAGAATATATAAAGGCCTAATTTACAAAACCCTTTGTCATGGCAGCAAGCACCTGGCCATAAAACCAGTAGCTCAAAACACTGCTGTGACCAAGTGCTTTGGTATTAACCACCATGAGTAACAGAGACACTCCTCCCTGACCCCTTCGTATCCCCATTAGTTTGCTTCTAATAAACCCAAAGTCTGATGCTTTTGGAAGATGTGACCAAAATACCTCATTTTTTTCCATCCTGCTCTTGCTGGGAACATTATCACTACTGTGAGAGAAAACTACTGTATGAGAAAACAGTTCGATTCAGGAGGCACTTTAACACAATACTCTCTTAATTCCAGAAAGTTTTCTTATAATATCATGATTTAAAAATCAGACATAAAGCACAGAACCCCTAGTATTAATAACAGAGAACCACTACTGCCTTTGCTACGTCCCTGAGTGATGGCAGCATTGCATTACAGACTTGCGGGGAACTCTGACGCTGAAATAATCCCTCTCCTAGGTGGAAGAAGCAGGACCAGCCACTGTTGACTACTGGCCTCAAGCCCTAAATACATTTCTGCTTTTTACACAGTCCACTGCTGCCCATCTCCTGCATCCCAAGTACGTTCTGCCTGTGCGATCTTCTCAAATCCAGAAACCGCAAAGGTTTCTTGCACTTCCGACCAGCTGTACCCTGAGGAAAACCCAACCTTCATCCTAAGGGCTGACAGAAGTGGGTAACACACAACATGTGTTACCTTTCCACTGCTAACTTACAACTTCTATATGAATAAAGCCCATTTTAAACACAGTTTAGAGTTCGTCTCAGCAACAGTATCCCATTCATTCCAGAAGTGGTCAGCCAGATGCCATTTGCTCATCTGCCCTGAGTAATGAGTTGCACTCTTCGTGTGCCAGTGCCTACCAGACACCCCAGCCTCACACCCAAGCCCACTCTACCCTTCTGCATGAACAGTAACTGCTCCAAAGCAGTATCACTCCACTAGTTTAAATGATGATTCTGTGATACTTTACATAAGAAGTATTCATAAGGTAAAAAAGATTACAAAAGGTCTGATACCATCTTCAAAAGAAGTTTGCACCTTTCCTGAGATATTAAGCAGATAATTATAGACTTGCCAGCTTGCTTTGGGTAATAATGCCAAGATCTGAGGACTCACTTGCAGTCCTACAGCTTTTCCTACTGACCCCTTGGAGTTGCTGGTTGACCGGTGCTGTGCTGTCTCTGAAAAGACACACTGGCAGAGCAAGTAAAAGCTGTAGAAAGCCCCTCTGTATCTGCCTGTACCTGAAAGCCAAAAAGGGCTAAGTCTACCGGCAAAACTTCCAAGTTGGAAAAGGCCTCTCAGACTAGATGCAACCACACTGGAAAGCAAAATCCACTTCTAGCCAGAGTAGCAAACTTAGGTCAGTAAGCAAAATACGGAATATCCACTAAAGCATTCTTTGCTGATCCCCTCCTTGTGTAGCTCCTGCTGGTACAGCCATGAACCAGAAACAAAAATGGTCACTGATGAAAATACTCACCAGCTTAGCTTTGCTGACAAGACTGGTAAGTGCAAGTCTTGCTCACAGCTCTGAAATCAGGACAAAAAGTGGTTTAAATAGCCAGACCCACTGCTGCTTGTGGATTCAGGTTTTCACACTGCAGTGGTAAATTTAGACCCCCTATGGATGGTTACGCAAGGACAGCCTGAGATACAGAGCAGAAGATGTAGGTCACTTTTTAAATTCATTTACAGCCTGAGTACCAGCAGAAAGGTGCTTTCTGGCCTCGGTGGGCTTCAGATCAGACCCAATGCCACACACCTGAAATTGTTCCAGGAATCAAGTGTTTGAGTTGAAAAGGATCTGTCTGAGAGGACTTCAGGAGATGTACTCTCCTGAATATATATAATGCTGTGCCACTCTCTGACGGTGAGTTAAAGCATAAACTCAACCTAATTCAGAGACCCGCAGCTCTTGCCACTCACAGTGGCCCTCAATAAAACCATGAGCACTCTGCCTCTAAACATCAGGCTGCACCTCCTCAGCACTAAATCCTGGCAGCACAATGGTCACGCAATACCTGTTGTGGGCACACAGCACAAAAATAAATGCTTGTTCTTCCTGTGGAAAGCTGATGGTATAACTAGAAGGGATGGAGAAAAATAAGCATGCATTTTTTACAAAATGGTGAAGTTTCGCTTCATGCTAGTGGGTAATTTTTGAAAATAAAGACCCCATTAACTAAGCATTCCTTGGCTTATATTTAAAGATGCTTGCTTCGCCTCTGTCTCACTCACATTTTATACCTCTGCATAGAGACACAGAAGATACAGAGATTTTTTATGCTATCACCACCACAGAGCTGTTCAAGGAAAAGTGCCTAAGAGGAAAAGGACACTATAAAGCAAAAGAAGGCCTAGAAACCACACAGCAGAGTCACATAGCAACTAGGAAGTTAGAAATAAAGGATAAACTTTGAAATGGAGCAACCTGAAGGAAAACATTATGCAGTCTTCTACAGAAACAAAGCCAACGAAGGGAAAAAGACTGCTACAGAAAAATGATACAGAGAAAAGTAAAGATGGAGAGGGGGAGAAGTAATTTTAAAGCTGCAGAAGCGTCAAGAGTCATTGTCAAGGTAAAAATCAGATGTTCAAAGCAGCAGCTTTCCACCGGCTTTTAGCAACATCCTGCTGGAGAGCATATAAATCTTGTTCACAGTTTAACATTTCTGGCCCAGCAGAACCCAGTGCGGGGGATCAGGCCTTTTGCTGGGTGGCACCAAGGCCCTGGCAATGCTGGAGCAGGGCAGAGCTCTCACTGCTCCTGGACTTGGTGCAGCTGAGGTACTTGGGGTCAGATAACCCATCCCTTAGGGGATCTAGTAACCTGGGTGTTTTACCACAAGTGGCAGAGGTGTCACCAGATAGCTGGAGAAAAGGTGAGAGACTGAAGAGCAGCCCTGAACCTGAGTGGGAATGGAGTTCATTTAGTGCCCCTTTCCCTTCCATAAGGCTCCTACTTTGGGAGTTAGGCAAGCAAAGTGGATGGCAAACCTGCCCAAGATGAATACCACTTCCATGGTCTTCTGCGCTTCGGAGACAATGGGTCTCAGGGGCCTACAAATCTTATGGCTCAATAGGATAGTGTTTCCTGAAGGAAGAATGATTACTGGGTAGGCAACTTTTAAATGCATTGCCAACATTTGGGAGCCAGGCATACATGGCAGGCATTGCTGTATGGCAGGGACTTTGTAGTCTGTTGGCCTCTGGTTTTCCTTCTCAGGTTCTGCCTTAACTTCATACGTGGAGCATAAAACTTTGTCATGGAGCCTAGTTTATTAGTACAGAAATAACTACAAAGAAAAGAAAAATCTTTTCAGACAGATTTTTCAGAAAGCACACAGACTGCAGTGCAAAATGTGATAAGCCCCATTGCCACTGAGACTGTCACTCCTGAGGCTTCCTATCTGCCCCTGCTTTCCAGCCAGGGATCTTCAGCAAAGTGCATGTCCCAAACCCCCCACAGCACTGCAGCCAAGGAATGCTGTGCAGGATGTCCCCTCTAGCCTTCTTCTGCCTCTGAAGTGAGCTCAGAACTGGCTCCAGTTATGGGTC